TCCCGAGAATGACATCAAAGCTAGTCATCTCCAGGAGGATAAGGTCAAACACAAAAGTCTGCTCGGCTATCACAATAGAACAATCCCGCATAACTCGACTCAATGACACTGAACCCCAACAGGTGTATCAACTTACAATGCCCGATCCATGAAACTGATCTCTAACCCCGATGCAAGTGCAAATGATGATGAAATGAAAGAATAAGATGCACCAGAATCAAACAAAACACGGGCCCAAAAACCAAACACCGGAAATATACCTCGGAGAACTGAAGATCCAGGAGATGCATTAGTCGGTGCAAGTGCAAAAACACGTCCCTGCAGTGTCTGTGCCTATGAACTACTAATCTGAACACCAAACTGCTGTGCCAACACAGTAGGAGTATCCCTCCTAGCTGGTTGTGAACCCTGAGAAGACATGGCAGGCTGTGGTGGTGACGGTGGTCTAAAACCTGACTGAACTGTAGCTGACTGTAACGGCCTCTGTCGTGACCCTCTGCCATTAGTGATGCCTGCTCCCTGACTTGGACAGTCTCGAATCAAGTGGCCCTGCTGGCCATACCCATAACAAACCCTCGGAGGTGAAGAAACTGAAGACAATCTCATGGGACAATTGGACTTGTAATGTCCAAGCTGCTGGTACTGAAAACAAATAACTACACTCCTATCAGATCCAACCGGCATAGGAGTGGTAGGAGCGGGTCATGCAGACTACTGCCCCTGAAACTGAAATGAACCACCCATGTTCCTTTTCCCTGAAGGTCCCTCCGCAGATGGTCCTACATTCCTCTTTTGTCTCCACTGTTCCCTTCTTGTTTCTTTATCTTTGGCCTCCACCTCCAACATTAATGCCCTTTCCACTACCTCAGAATAAACCTTGATGCCCTATGCTATTAACAATGGCCTCATCTTGTAGTCAAGTCCGGAGATAAACTTCCGAACCTTATCAACTTCATTACTCACCATCTCTGGAGCAAAGCGGGAAAGAGACGTGAACTTGTTCTCATATTCTGTCACTGACATATTTCCTTGGATAAGGCCAATAAACTAATTCTTTAACTCCCACCTATTGGAAGCAGGGAAATACTTCTCATAGAACAGATCCTTAAATTTATCCCAACTCATTTCTTCAATTTTATATTGATTTGTGATTGATTTCCACCAAAACTTGGCATCCTTTGTGAACTTGTAAGTGGCTAGGATAATTTTCAAGTGATCCTCCGTCACATCAATAGAAGTTAATTGAGTTTCAACGTGCTCCGTGTAGTCATCCGCTACCATAGGATCTGCACCACCTTCAAACATTACCGGCATCAACTGAGAAAACCCTTTAATAATCTTGAGACGCTTCTAAGCTGGCGTCTCCTCAACTTGAACTGTAGGTTGTGGTACCAACTTCGATTAAGCCGCAATCATTGCCCTCACGGCACTTTGCAACAAATGATTCAACTCCAGTGCCACAGAACTTTCACCCACTTCTACGGGTGCTTTAACATTATCCCTCCTTGTGGGGACAACTCTTGGGGGAATCAAGTCCCTTAGAAGTGTAGCCTCATCTGGCTCTGCCGGATTGGAGCTCGAGCTCTCGCCAACATCACCCCTTGTTAGCCTAGGGCCAACTTCCCTGGGTTCCTCACGCCGTGACATCGTTCTATAAAACAAATAAAACGATTCAATAACGATAACACTAAGGTCTAACCGTGAACAACTCAACATAAAAGGATGTTATACTAACACTTAGCATGCAAGACTAGGCAATGAACACATTAATATAAGCATATAAGCACGTAAGCATGTAACAAGTAAACAGTTAAGCATACTTTTGCACATAGCAAAACACTTTAACAATTAATCACATAAACTATGCGAATGACTTCCTATGCAACCCCTATGTAGGCCTTTACCCGTCATCCTAATGGTTTTTGAACCAAAGCTCTGATATCAATTTTGTAACGACCCTAACTGATGCCAAAATTTAAAAAAAAAAAAAAAAAATTTGACATGACCTCCGCTAAAAATCGTCCTACAACAACCTGTTTAAAAGCATTTTTAACCTGTCCCAACACAATAAACATCAAATACATTCGATAGTGGTACAACCACATACTATATCATCCAGGTATCATAATTAAAGTCCCAAAATACAGGATTTATATCAAATGTCCATATTTTACAACGTTTCGACAGCTCATACAAAAGTTACAGCCCATAGGTATAATTAAAATATTAAAAGTCCATGAGTCGTCGTACAAAATACATTATGCTTAGTCTTACAAAATAGTGAGACCTAAGTACAAAAATAACAAAAGAAGCTCCTAATCCATACTAAGTCGGTGGTAGAATGTCATCCACCACTTTTTTCTCATTTCCTGAAAAAAATGTTAAATAAAAGGGGTGAGCAAAATTGCTCAGTAGGTGGAGCCTAAGACACGCCTTTTGTGTCCCTGTGAATCCAAACAAGGAATAGGACAATAGGAATTTGGGGTCATGCAAAGCCGAGAAAACACAATATCAATTCTAAGTTCAAAACAAATAAATTTCATGCCATGAATGCAATGTTATGCATGTCACTCCCCATTTTCAGAAAACATCATCACTTCACAAACAGTTAATATAACCCGCCCTTTGGTGACTCTGCAGCCACACGAGAGAAGGATTGGCTACTGTCCCTGACCTTTGGTACCTCCGCAGCGTCATTTAGGGCCCAGATAGCTCAACCACGCTAGGGCAATCTCCCTAGTTCCCTCTAGGCTATATTAACATACCGGCCCTTTGGTGACTCCGCGACGATCGGGTTTTTCTCAAAAACTGTTTCATCAAATTCTCCCCAAAAGTTCCCTTTTTCATTCTTATCAAAACATTGTACCATTTTTCTTTCATGCCCAATGCTATGGATGTATGTCACATGCTTTTACCATTTCAAAAAAAATTAGAGAAAAATTTCTACTACACAATTTAGCATGCATCCATATAATAAACACTTAGGCATGACAATTAACACATTAAGCATACTTTACAATAATTTTAGGAGAATTTTCATAAACTTTCATGAATAATTTCTAACAATTTATCAACACAATAATATAGAGAATCTCATAATCAAGTATATTTTTCATACAATTCAATAATTTCACATACTCACATGCTATATGTACAAAATCAAGTCATTTAAAAGGCAAATAAATCAAATCGATCATGCTTGACAACAATTATGGTAGAATGACTCACAAAAGCACAAGATAGTGTGAATTATAGACCCCTACCTCTATTACATGCAAAACCCCCAATTTGTACCACAAACCCTCAAAATGGGTCAAGATTTTCAAACTCCCTAGGTTGCTCAAAACTGAAATTGCTGGTATACACGTGTAGAGCTCGCCGTGCTCTCCGTTTTGCCACAAACGGCACTCAAAATTACCAAGGGATGAAAAAGAAATCAAGGTTTGAAGTTGTAAAAGAAAAAAGAAAATACAGAGAAACAGAGAGGCTGCGAAAGAGAAGAAAGCAGATAATAAGAAAAAAGGAAAAAAAAAACGTGATCTAATGACCACTTAAAACAATTGTGGGCCCTACCAATTTTTATTTTCTTTTTTCTTTTTCTTTTGCCTTTAAATTCACTCCACACACACACACAATTACATATATGTATATGCATAACACAGACATTACAAGTTCCGGTTGGCATGATCTCTTCAATTCAAAGGACAGGATGAGATTTGAACCCTGCAAGAAACATACTGAGGGACTCTGCTCATTTTAACTTCCGAAATATACTCACGCATAATATAAGCTTCTATTTTTGCATCCAAAAGTGGTCATGCCAAAGGCTTAATTTTTAGGGATTATTACATATTAATGAGATTAGGGCACTATATTTACTTAGAGGCTGAGTCAAAGTCTCAAAGTTTCTCTAAAATGTGTTTGACCCAAAGGCTGAGGTGGCACATGAAAAAATACTGTTTCATATTTCTGTTGCCTAAAGTACCATTCTTCCTATTTTATGTATTGCCTAAAATACTCTTTTGTACACTTACTAATTCCTCTTTTCACATTCCATTCGTGCTGACCTCTCTCTCCCCCCTTCTCTGTAAACAACAGCGATCAACAATCCTCTAACCATTTCCATGCCTTTCGTGACAAATTGGATTACTGATATAATCCAATTGTAGTGTTATATGTGTTTCTATATATGTAAATCTATATATATATGTGGGTGTGGGTGTGTGTGTGTTTGATTGTTTGCGTGTATACAGAGTCACAGACACACTACAAGACTAATGGTGGTTGATTTATCGTGCCATTTGAGTGTTGGAGTTTCTCATCACATCCGCTCATGTAAACATATTTCATTTTAATTTCTTTGGCTGAAATTTCATTTGTAAATTCTGAAACAAAATCAGAAAAGCTTAAACCCTAACAGATATGTGTGAGTATATGTTGGAGTTCCTTTCGTGAATCATAAATTGATTTTCTTTTTCTCAAAATCATAAATTCCTTTGATTGTTTGAATTCAAAAGCCACTTTATATTGTTGTCATTTAGGTTTTCTTCTACTTTTTCCCCCCTTGAAGAAGCCTACTGATTTAAAGTGATTTTTGTATTGCATGTGTTTGTACAAATGATACAATGAAAAAATGCCATGACAATGATCTTGTGAGGTGGCCATACCTAAAAGCAAGGTTATAAAGTCACAAAATTAAGTTTCCTCGCTGATTAAAGTTTGCATGATTAAATTAGTTGGTGAACTTAGATATTTGGTAGATGGTATAAGCTTTTTGGGCTTCTTGGACCAGAAAGAGTTGGAGATTTTTTGCATGCTAGTTGTTTTATCTTTTGTTTTACTCTTGGTCTTGGTCAAAGAAGTACCTGGGCCCTCGCTTGCCTTTTTTTTTTTGGTATCTCGGATGCTTGATTCTTTAAGTGATTTGATGGCAAATTCAGCTGCTGTAACTTCTGTTGGAACTCGTCATCATCGCGAAAATCATCACTCTGATTCATTAGCGCATGAGGATCTAATTCCTGGTTTTTGCAAATTCTATTACGTTACCTAGGAATGTTCCAGTTTTTCTGTAGAAATTCTTTGTTGGTGAATTTTTTTCAAGTCTTACCCCTAGTTTCTAGTTTTGCTTTCCTATCTTTGTGGTTTTTCATACTGGAAGAGTTTTGATCATAGTTTTACCCCCTAGTCTCTAGTTTTACAATTGCGTTGCTGTGCATTTTTTTCCCTCTATAATCAATGCTTTTCTAAGTGGGCAAGAAATAATAGTAAAAAGTGTCTCTATTTAGAACTTAACCTACAATTTTTTTTCTTTAAAGCATTGCTGATATCAAAATAGACCATATATGCCAATGATTCTTGAATATCTTCTGAATATAAGCAAAGATCATTTATTTTTCTTTTTTCGAACCTTTTGATCTAATTTCTCCATACAACTTATGTTTCTATATTTGTAGATCTATTAATATAATCAATCTAGGTTTTTTTTTTTTTTGTTCTTCAGGTTTGTTTATGTGAGTATATTATATGACTTTGTTCTTTTGAGATCTCTGCTTGTCCATTATTTTTTGTTGCTTTTTTTTTTTTTTTTTTGTCCCCCAATCTTGGTTCCTCTGTTTTTTTATTTTTCTTTTTTATTTGATAAGTCATGTTGATGGTGTTGGATAAACATTAGATGGATATAAAATGAGTGGTGGAATGGAGATTTAAATCTTTTGTCAATATGAATATATGATTGATTCTATTCTAGGTTGTATAACAATGGAAAAGAGTAATCATGTCATTTTTTTGTTTCATTTTTGCTTCTTCAGTTTCCATGACATCTTTTCTGGCAACCTCTCCTAATATTTCTGAGAAATTAATGGTTATGTGAAGGCTTGGGATGAAAAGAAGGTCGAGTTGGGAACTCCATCACAGAAATGTTTCCTTCCCTTTCTCATCGGCATGCCAAACTGGTAAATTTTGATTCGACTTATTTCCCATTAAATATTTAATCTTATTTATATTGTATCTTTTTTGGAGGCTCGAGAAGGGATTCATCAGCTCCAAATATTCAAATTTGGGCCAGCAATTAGCAAATTGTTTATAGCCTTCTCACCATGGCTTTAGGTAAGTCTAAGATAATTAATTTCTAATTTGTTTATGGCTTACTGTAGTCAATACGGTTTTAGTTTACTATAGTCAATCTAATATGTTTAATTCAAAACTTGTTAAACAAGGGGTGAAAAAGACTTCTACCACTGCACTACAAGAAAAATGACTTGAAATCTTCTACAACATTGCAAGATTATAATTCAAACAATGGAAAAAAATTGTCCAGTAAATAGGAGAAGACCAACAGCCAAAAACTTAGAGCAGCAACTTTAAAAACTAGTGCTGTTATTTTAACCAAAATCTAGAGTAAATATGAGAAGAGTAGAAACAAAGAAAATAATAATAATATAAAGGGCAGCAACTTCTTATTCCTCTGCAAAAGCTAGCCCGGTCCAATTTTTAGTTTTCTCTCTCCCGGTTCAAGCTCTGTTTTTCTTCCTATCTCCCTGCTCAATCTCTTGAATTGGGCACGTCATCAAAATCAGAAAATCTAGTTGTTGAAACAGAGTTTGTTGAAAATTTATAGGGCTGAATCCTATTTAAACTCCACTAATTCAACCATAAAATCCCAACCATAACATCAGAAAGAAAGTAAAAAAAAATTAATAGTTCAGTAAAAATCTGGTGAAACATGACCAAGAAATCTGGAGCTTAAAAGCTTAACAAGAAATCTGAAACTTAAAAGCTCTTGGGTTGATCAAAGCTGGCCCAAGTTTTAAAAAATTCAATTTTCAAATTTGGTCCAAATGTGAATGACTAATTTAAGCCAAAAGATAAAATTGGCTTTTGAATTCCAAAATAAAACCCTTTGTGACAGTGGTAATCTACATAATGTTATTAATCACTGCAACAACAAAGTAAATTGTCTTTCTGCGAATTGTAATTAAACAATCAACCATATAACGAAATTTTCAAAATAAAAATCCAATTCTGCCAACCACAAAAACGAACTTGACAATCAATATATCATTTGCTTTTCCTTTCTTTCAATTTCTCAGTAATCAAACAGTGGGGGCATGAGCAATACAACTTTTCAGCTCAATCACCTTCTCTGTTTTTACTTTCCCAAACTCAATGTAAAGCAAGCGCACAAAGTAGAAGAATTAAAAATAAAAATAAATAAAAAATCATTTTTTCATAGATTTCTCAACCCTAAGCCAGTATACCAGTTTTACCGTTGCTTGTAAACACCTCATCTTTAGATAACCAAAACCAAAATGTTGATTCTAGTACATAATTGGTGTAGGACTCCATGTTTCCTGGTTGTTGTTGTCAAACTTTTCATATATGCATGTTATTGGCATTGTCTCATGCTGGTAATGACTGCACACCGATTAGCCACTAAAGGATTATACCATTTGCTATATTCAATAAAAAAAGTTATTTCTATTGCAAAGTTTGTGAAACATGAACATTAACCCGTAGTCTAGAGTGGCCAGAGGCCAATTTCTTGTCTATACTCAAAACTGAACTTTTATTTTTTTACAGTTCTACTGCTGGTTCAAGTAAAACCTCACTTTCTTATGCCTTTTTTTCTCATTTTTCATTGCAGTTTGGTGAGGTGGATATTGAGGGTTCATTGGTTGCTAGTATTATTTTAAACAAGGTATATTAGATTTCTTCTCAATAATCAGGAACTATACCTAACTTATTATGACTTCCTTTGGAATTCAATGAATTCTTTTTCTACTATCTTTATGCTCTTCATTGTATAATGTTGGCAGATAGATTTGGTGACTGAGGCTGACTTGGAGGTGTTGACAAAGCGAATTCAGGTAGGCTTTCACCTTGTACATAGATAGATTTTACTTGTATCTTTGAAATGTGGCTACTCATTGAATTGAGAGGGTTAGAGGTGTTTTTAGACTGTGCCAAGAGAAACTGAACTTGTATGAATGTGGAAAGTGGTAAAACGGTTGTTGGAATTTTTATATCTATTTGATTCCGGCACAATGATCGATTCTTTGAAGTTTAGGCACTTCTTCGGTTAGTTCAGCTGTGGGTTTTGCTGTTGCCTTTTGACAAGCCAAATTTAACTTTAGTCTGGTTTTGATATATATTTTTCTATATTAATGTTATGGTCAACTGGTCTACTGAAAATTGCATTATGTGAAATTTCTTATTTTAAAATATCTGAACACAAAAAGTAATTACAATATTTTACACAATAGGTATCTGTTTGTGCAGTCAATGGGGTATAAAATTAAAAAAAATAGAAATGAAAATTTAAGAATGCATTTGAAGCTTACATGTCTATAACAAACAAGGGTTAATACTGAAAGTGCTCAATAGGTTCAATTATTCAACTTATTCATGTAATAGTTTATGGTATAGCCTTGTGTTAGTATGTTGCTTAATTTGTCATATATGTTCTACTGGTATAGCTTTATGTTAAATGAACAGTGAATTCTCTTTCATCTTTCCTTGGCATGCTATTGATTCTACAGCTTTTGGATTTTTGGTGCACTTTTGTCAGCATATCAATGGGATGACACAGTTAAAGCTGGCAAAATATGGCGTTGTCGACAAGGACTTTGTTTTGGGAGTGGGTGGTTATGATCTAGATAGGTGATTCAGAGTTTTTTGCTTTTTTCATAGTATTTTTTTCCCTATTTGTGGTTAGGAAATACAAATGGCACTGCATATCCATATCATAAGTGGTATTGGGTAATATCATATTCCATGACGTTTGAACATGCCATTCGTTTTGCAGAATTGATTCAAAGGTTCAGTCGGATAGTTCTCATTGTGAATCCCATCAGTGTTGTTAAAGGCGCGCCTAGGCTCGAGGCTCAGGTTTAGCGCTTGTTGCCATCCTAGGCTCACTGATGTTGGAAACGAGAAGGACTGGATTGAGGTAAAGATGAGAAACGGTGTACAGAAGATGGTCATTTCCAAATGGAAAGGCATCACCACCATCAAAATCAACAACTGAGCTTCCATCGCTGTCCTTCCGAGCTCATCTATGTTCATCCTGTTTGCTTAATTCTTTTTTAGGGTTTGTTCATTGATCGATTGATCTCTTTTGATTTCACTATGTTCTGGTTTTTGAAGCTTTGAAAAATGTTGATGCTCTATATAGTTGATGGATCTTTTGTTTGAGGGTTCCCAAATCCCAACTGAAAAATGTTGATGCTTTGCGTGTGCACCACAAATTTCTGTGTAGAAAAATGCCAAACGGGAGAATACAAAATTCTCTTTCTAATTTCTGAACTTATACGACATCATAGCTTTGAATCTTTTGCTAATGGAAATTGTCTAACATGTCAGCTTGGGGAAGAAAATTTCATTTGGAAAGAGAATGCTACTATTATCTCATAGTCGAGTCGGGTCACTAATACCGTGAACACCCAAACTGAAAAACAGCAAATTACAATTTCCAATGCATTTAAAAGAAACTAGTCTTGCTTGTGTTCGTGTTTCCAGATAAGATTTCCAAATCAATTAAGCGAAATTTCTGGAGGGACACAGAGCAAAACCAGACCAAGAGCATGAGCATTGGAACCTTGAGAAGCAGTGGCAGGCAAAATACTAAAATACAAACCATGAAAATTTTAAAAATAGCTGATTTACATTGAAAGAACAATAAACAGGTTAACCCATAAAGACTACCTTACAAATTTGGAGAAACAGGTTCCAGTCTGGAAGACTACAGGATCTCAAAATAATTACTGCACCAGAATTTGCTTTATTAATTGGAGTTCCCAAGCTGGGGTCACAAAGAAAGAGAAAGTAGGGCATATTTCGCTAAAATTACTGCACTAGAATTTGCTTCATTAATTGTTCAATTTCATAAGTAGAGCATATTTCGCTAAAATTTGTTTAGAATTTGTGTAGGCTAAAATACCCTTCTTATCATTTTTAACTTATTTATTTATATTTGGCAACCATGTTTTCTAAACAATCGCTTAGCTAGCTTGGAGAATATTTTGTGTTATTTATGGTCCTAATGGAGCTGTTTATAGATGTAATGAGCAACCTAATTAGCGGTGTGGGGTTTAATAGCATTTTCAATTGCAAAAATAAGTCCCTTTTCCGAAGGTTCCACTTTTTTCCCAAAGGTACCATGTTTTTGAACTAAAGGTACCACTTTTTGGCGTCCAGGTACCATGTTTTCTAAACACCCGCTTAGCTAGCTTAGAGAATATTTTGTGTTATTCATAGCCCTAATGGAGCTGTTTATTAATGTAATGTGCAACCTAATTACCGGTGTAGGGTTTAATACCATTTTCAATTGCAAAATTAAGTCCCTTTTTTTGGCGTCCAGGTACCATGTTTTTGAAACACTTGCTGAGCTAGCTTGGAGAATATTTTGTGTTATTCATGGCCCTAATGGAGCTGTTTATAGATGTAATGAGCAACCTAATTAGCGGTGTGTGGTTTAATATCATTTTCAATTGCAAAAATAAGTCCCTTTTATTAGCGTCCAGGTACCATGTTTTTTAAACACTCGCTTAGCTAGTTTGGAGACTATTTTGTGTTATTCATGGCCCTAATGTGTAACCTAATTAGCGGTGTGGGGTGTAATACCATTTTCAATTGCAAAAATAATTCCATTTTGTGAAGGTACCACTTTTTTTCCAGACGTACCACGTTTTTGAACTAAAGGTACACGTTTTTGGCGTCTAGGTACCATGTTTTCTAAACGCTCGCTTAGCTAGCTTGGAGAATATTTTGTGTTATTCATGGCCGTAATGGAGCTGTTTATAGATGTAATGTGCAACCTAATTAGCGGTGTGGGGTTTAATACCATTTTCAATTGCAAAAATAAGTCCCTTTTGCGAAGGTACCACTTTTCTTCCAAATGTACCATGTTTTTGAACTAAAGTTATCATTTTTTGGCGTCCAGGTACCATATTTTCTAAACACTCGCTTATCTAGCTTGGAGAATATTTTGTGTTATTCATAGCCTTAATGGAGTTGTTTGTTGATGTAATATGCAACCTAATTAGCGATGTGGGGTTTAATACCATTTTCAATTGCAAAATTAAGTTCCTTATTTTGGCGTCCAGGTACCATGTTTTTTAAACACTCGCTTAGCTAGCTTGGAGAATATTTTGTGTTATTCATAGCCCTAATGGAGCTGTATATAGATGTAATGAGCACCCTAATTAGCGGTGTGTGGCTTAATATCATTTTCAATTGCAAAAATAAGTCCTTTTTTTTGGCGTCCAGGTACCATATTTTTTAAATACTCGCTTAGCTAGTTTGGAGAATATTTTGAGTTATTTATGGCCGTAATGGAGATGTTTATAGATGTAATGTGCAACCTAATTAGCGGTGTGGGGCTTAATACTATTTTCAATTGCAAAAATAAGCCCATTTTGCGAATGTACCACTTTTTTTCCGAAGATACCATGTTTTTGAACTAAAGGTACCACTTTTTGGCGTCCAGGTACCACGTTTTCTAAACACTCGCTTAATTAGCTTGGAGAATATTTTGTGTTATTCATAGCCCTAATGGAGCTGTTTATTGATGTAATGTGCAACCTAATTAGCGGTGTGGGGTTTAATACCATTTTCAATTGCAAAATTAAGTCCCTTTTTTTGGCGTCCAGGTACCATATTTTTTAAACATTTGCTTAGCTAGCTTAGAGAATATTTTATGTTATTTATGGCCCTAATGGAGCTGTTTATAGATGTAATGTGTTACCTAATTAGCGGTGTGGGGTGTAATACCATTTTTAATTGCAAAAATAAGTCCCTTTTGCGAAGGTACCATTTTTTTTCCAAAGGTACCACGTTTTTGAACTAAAGGTACCACTTTTTGGCATCCAGATACCATATTTTTTAAACACTCCCTTAGCTAGCTCGGAGAATATTTTGTGTTATTTATGGCCGTAATGGAGATGTTTATAGATGTAATGTGCAACCTAATTAGCGGTGTGGGGCTTAATACTATTTTCAATTGCAAAAATAAGCCCATTTTGCGAATGTACCACTTTTTTTTTCCGAAGATACCATGTTTTTGAACTAAAGATACCACTTTTTGGCGTCCAGGTACCACGTTTTCTAAACACTCGCTTAATTAGCTTGGAGAATATTTTGTGTTATTCATAGCCCTAATGGAGCTGTTTATTGATGTAATGTGCAACCTAATTAGTGGTGTGGGGTTTAATACCATTTTCAATTGCAAAATTAAGTCCCTTTTTTTGGCGTCCAGGTACCATATTTTTTAAACATTCGCTTAGCTAGCTTAGAGAATATTTTATGTTATTTATGGCCCTAATGGAGCTGTTTATAGATGTAATGTGTTACCTAATTAGCGGTGTGGGGTGTAATACCATTTTCAATTGCAAAAATAAGTCCCTTTTACGAAGGTACTACTTTTTTTCCAAATGTACCATGTTTTTGAACTAAAGGTACTACTTTTTGACGTCCAGGTACTATGTTTTCTAAACACTCGCTTAGCTAGCTTGGACAATATTTGTGTTTTTCATGGCCCAAATGGAGTTGTTTATAGATGTAATGTGCAACCTAATTAGCGGTGTAGGGTTTAATACCATTTTCAATTGTAAAAATAAGTTCCTTTTTTTGGCGTCCAGGTACCATGTTTTTTAAACACTCGCTTAGCTAGCTTGGAGAATATATTGTGTTATTCATGGCCCTAATGGAGCTGTTTATTGATCTAATGTGCAACCTAATTAGCGGTGTGGGGTGTAATACCATTTTCAATTGGAAAAATAAGTCCCTTTGTGAATGTACCACTTTGTTTCCATAGGTACCATATTTTTGAACTAAAGGTACTATTTTTTGGCATCTAGATACTATATTTTCTAAACACTCGCTTAGCTAGCTTGGAGAATATTTTGTGTTATTCATGGCCCTAATGGAGCTGTTTATAGATGTAATGTGCAACCTAATTAGCGGTGTGGGGTTTAATACAATTTTCAATTGCAAAAATAAGTCCCTTTTTTTTGGCGTCCAGGTACCATGTTTTTTAAACACTCGCTTAGCTAGCTTGGAGAATATATTATGTTATTCATGGCCCTAATGGAGCTATATATTAATCTAATGTGTAACCTAATTAGCGGTGTGTGGTGTAATACCATTTTCAATTGCAAAAATAAGTCCCTTTTGCGAAGGTACCACTTTGTTTCCAAAGGTACCACATTTTTGAACTAAAGGTACTACTTTTTGGCATCCAGGTACCATGTTTTCTAAACCCTCGCTTAGCTAGCTTGAAGAATATTTTGGGTTATTTTGTGTTTTTCTTATAGTACATTCATGTAATAGTCAAAGAAAATTCAGTTAGACCCTAGTATAATAAGCTATACAATACTAATTCATGAAAACCCAAAAGAGCAACTTCATTTGATTCCATCGAAGGTGTATAATAAGCCATACAATATATGATTGCAAAAACATACCAACCTGATCCACAATCAAAAGTTGCAAAAACTACTCTTCTTTAAAACTTAGAAAATAGCTAACAACAACAGATTGCAAAATACCAGCAAAAAAAATGACACTGTTTAACATTACAAATGTCCCATATCCCACATCAT